CTGGAAGAAGGGCAGGCAGCGCTCACAGTCCGCGCCCGTGGTGTTGTGCTGGCACCGGCAGACCAACCGGCCCTCCGCGTCGGGGCCACACTCGCTGGCGTGTCCATTACACTTGCACCTGGGAAAGAGCGTGGAGGGCGGGGGCTCAGAACCCAGAGGGCACCGGCTCGGGGGGGCCCCACGGGGTCGGCAGAGGAGGGGTTAATCACCGAAGCCCGCACTCCGGTGGGCCCACTGCTACGGCTCAGTGACGAGTTTTATTGAACACCTACTGTGTGCCCGGGACAACAGAAAGAGAAGCGTTTCTGAGCATTGCTGACATTTAATCCCATCGCACGCCACAAGCTCTAGCCCATTTCACAGATGGAGAAACTGAGGCGCAGAGAGGTTGCCCGAGGCCGCCAGTCAGTAATGGCCACTTTTGTGAGGCTGCCTCTGCAGGCTTCTGCCAGGAGGAGCCCCCAGGGGCTGAGAGACCCAGGAAGAAGCCTCTGACTCCGGGGATGAGGCGGGCCAGCTCACAGGGCAGTGCAGGGGGTGGGAGGCGCCTCTGCCCAATGAGGAAGGGGCTATTCCTTGCAGAGGACACCCCCCCCCACCACCACCACTCATCTCAAGTCCCCGGTGAGTCTGTGCCTTGGAGGGCAGCCCTGGCCCTTGTGCCACCTCCCCGCCCCCGCCACCCCCCTTCACTCCCCCCAGGCCAGGAGACAGCTGGAGCTGGGCAGGCACAGAGAGGTGCTCTGGGGGCCATACCCATGGGGCTGTCCTGAGCGGCCAAACCCAGCTGCTTAGAGGATGGCCATGGCGTCTAGCTCCTAGCCTTCCTCTGCGCCGCTCCCGACCCGCTCTCCCTGGAGCCCTGCTGCTGTGGCGGGAGGGACCGTAACTATCCCCATTTCACAGGTGGGCAAATGGAGGCTCAGGCCATGAAGTGATGGATGCTAGCGGCAGAGCTAGAATCTGAACCCGGCTCTCCTACTTTGCACAGACCCTGAGTTCCTGGCCAGCTCGCTCAGGCCACTTTGTGGCTCCCCATAAGCTGTGTCCCGCACTCGGTCCCCCTGAGGGTGTTGAAGCAGCCTGACCATGGCCAGTGCCCACGGTGCTGTCTCTGCTTCGGGGACACAGGGCTTGGGAAGGGCGCAGGGCACAGCTTCCTCGCCAGGCCTCCCTGGGAGCCCAGGATGGGCAGGTAACACCCAGGGTTTCTGGCGGAGGCGAGGGGGCACCAGGCAGTGTTGGGACAAGAGACCACCCGTGTTCCCCAGAGGCTGCTGCGAACACCTCCCTTCCCCATGAGGCCCTGTGACACCGAGGGAAGCAGCGAAATCCGTGTAGGCCAGTGTGGGCGGACACAGGCCACTGGGCCACCTGCGCCCCGCCAGCTGCAGGCCTGGGGGTGGTCCGGCTCTGGCAGCTGGGGCCCAGATGTTCTCTGGGGCCAAACCCCTGACAGCAGGCGCTGGAGCCCACTCCATCCGCCACCCTCGGAGAACACCTCCTCCGGGTTTGACCTGAATCAATGTGGGGGTGTCAGGGAAAGGGCACAGAGGGGCCCTCTCAGACACCCCTATTTCCCCTTTATTCCCAGGCCCCAGCCTTTCCTGAAAGGTGCTGACACATTGAGTGCAGAGAGCTGGACCCCATGTCCCTTCCAGACTCTCCGCTTCTCCAAGGCCCCCCAAGCGTCCCTGAACCATGGGAGCCCCCTGCTCCCTGCCCCCCAGGCCATCACTCCCACAGCGAGCTGACTTCCCGTCCTAAATAGCTTTCGAACCCACAAGTTTTCCCCGCCCTAACGCCATCTCCCACGGCCGCCACCTAATATTCCCGCCGTTTCTCTCTCTCTCTTCTTCCCCACACGGTTGCCAAATGTTGGAGCATTTTAAAAATCCAACCCTGCCCGGCCAGCTCAGTGGTTGAGCATCCACCTATGAACCAGGAGGTCACGGTTCAATTCCCGGTCAGTGCACATGCCCGGGTGGCAGGCTTGATCTCCAGTGTGGGGCGTGCAGGAGGCAATGATTCTCTCTCATCATTGATGTTTCTATCTCTCTCTCCCTCTCCCTCTCCCTTTCTCTCTGAAATCAATAAAAATATATATATTAAAAACACACACCAAAACCCCCACAGAGCTCCCCTCTGACTGTACCCACGGCCCTGAGAACCTCCATTCCAGCCCCAGGGCCTTCTCCTGGGTCCTCCAGTCCCAGGTCTCGCACAGGGTGGCCCTCGGCTGGAATGCTCCCCTCCTCCAGCCTTGGCGGGTCCCCTGGCCGCGTACAGCCTGTCCTGACCTCCCGTCCTTGTCGTGCTGGGGCAGGCTGCCGCCAGATTACGGAACCTGGAGCAGGAACCCATCCGTCTTCCTCGCTACTTTCCCAGGAGGAACCCGACCAGCGTTTATGCTGAGGATCTCTCCTGCCTCCCCGGCCCCTCCGCCCGCCTCGCACACCCGGTCCGGGCGGCCACGTGTGCGACCGCCTGGATGTCAGTCCCCGTTCCTGGGAGGGGAGACGCTTACACAAACTAGCGCTGCTGCAGAGGACTGCGGACCAGGACCAGGGCCCGACCAGGGCCTAACGCCCCACGCGAGAAAGGCGCCAAGCGTGGCGACCCCCAGCTTTGCCCAGCCCCAGGAGCGCTGGGAGGCAGGGGGTGGACGGGCGCGCTGCTTATAGAATCAGGGCTGGGAGGGAAGGAAAGCTTTGAAAGCTCCGCACTCCGTGCTGCTCCTGGTCGCCACCCACCAGCCACACGCGCAACACAGACGCTCAGTCTGGCTGCAATGTGAGCGCGTGTTAGCCGGGACCTACAGAGGGAATGGTGGTGCCCAGGCCAGCATGTCCCTCGCATGGTGGTGGACACAGCTGATGAAGAAGCTGCAGGAGGTGGGTTGGGAGGCGGGGAGCAGCCAGGCGGCTTCGAATGCCAGGTCCAGGGGACCAGGATCTGCTCCCTGTCTCTCCCGTGGGCACCAGAGTAGCTTCTTCACCCTGCCCCCCTGGGGCGACACCACGTGGCAGCCACCCTGCTGCTCTCTCCGCCTTCACCCACCTGCCGCCCACCGAGAAGTCGGACACGGCGTAGTAGTAGGACTGCAGCACCTTGGGGTCCTTGAAGATGTCATCCCCAAACGTGTTGAGCCGGTCGAGCGAGATGAGGAGCTCGGTGCTGGTGACCCACTCCTGGGGGGGGCACAGGGAGAGGGCTGCCGTCAGCCGGGAGGCCCAGCTGGCCTGTCCGTGGGTGCCAGGGACACAAGGACAGGCCACGCTCAGACGCATTCCAAGGACACTGCCAAAGTCCGGAGCCGGCGTGTCGGGCTCCTGCCAACCCGGGTGCCAGGCCTCTGCCTGGCTGTGCAACTTTGGGGAAGTTGCTCGAAGTCCCGGACCATCCCTGTCCTCATTGGTGACATGGGCCAACGCACAGCGCCGGGCCCACAGGGACTTGGGAGGATGGCCAGTGTCAGCAGCGGGGCGTGGGGTCTGGTCACCTGACTCCTCCCAGGGCTCCTGCACCCCATTCTAGAGGTCGGCTGGGGCAGGGCATGTCCCGGCACCCTTCTCTCCTGCTCAGCGAGGCCTGGCAGGGGGCAGGCCCTCGGTTTATAGGTGCATCACATGCCAAAGATCAGTGCCTGAGCGTCAACCTATGAACCAGGAGGTCAGGGTTCGATTCCTGGTCAGGGCACACGCCCGGGTTGCGGGCTTGATCCCAGTGTGGGGCGTGCAGGAGGCAACCGATCCATGATTCTCTCTCATCACTGATTTCTCTCTCTCTCCCTTCTTCTCTGAAATCAATAAAAACATATTTTTTAAAAGATCAGGCTTCCACAGACAAGTCACCTGTCCCAGGTGATGTCTGTTCCTACAGAAACCCCCTGCCCCCCCAGGAGCAGGGACTGGGGGCCGCTTTACTCGCTGCAGCCCCAGCCCCGGGCTCTGCCCACGCAGCGAGCGCTTCCCCCGGAAGAGCTGGTGGGAGAGACCACGTGAAGGCTGACATTTTCATCCGCCTGCTGTTTGTGACAATCGGTGGCTGCGGCTGGGTTTTAATTAGCATTTTAATTCAGCGCAGGAGCTCCTGGTGCAGCAGCCAGGCCGTTGGCCCAGAAAAGGAGCTCCTGGCAGGGTCTGTCTCCTCGCCCCAGCAGGGCTCAGGCCAGCCGGCCTCTGCGGCTCCCTGACCCCTGCGACCCACGAGGAGGGGAGGGGGGCCCAGCCTGGGAAGCTCAGTGGGCACCTCAGAGAGTTTGTACGTCCCCGTCTCCCAAATCACTTCTCAACGCCCCTGTGCACCCAGGGATCTGGTTAGAATGTGCCTCCTGATTCAGAGGCCGGGCGGCCGAGACTCCCCGGGGATGCTGGCTCGCGGCCTCCCAGGAGCCTTGTGAGGAGGGACCGTTACTGAGGCAGGAGAGAAAGAAGCTGGGAAATTCCTGGGCCAGTGGAATGGGGAAACCGAGACGAGATAAGTAAACGAGGCCAAACAATTTGAACAAGGCACAGCCGGCCTGTGAGGCTCGAGACCTTATCTTCCCCAGCCAAGGACACTTGAGAGCAAATGGTGTACGCCTCCCCTCCCCGAGCAGGGAGCACAGAGCCTCGTCACCCTGGTCGGAGCTAGAGAACAGCGACCCAGTTAAGGCCACTGGCGCCGGCCGAACCCAAGGATGGATGAAGTCGGGGAACAAATAACAAAACCCGGTTAGAGCCAGACGGACCCAGATACAGCGCAGCAGAAAGCCCACCAGGGACCCGTCCCACACGCCCCTCCACGCTCACGCTGACGCATCGGCGGGTTAAAAACGCACCTGGAAAGCTGAGTATTCTGCTGAAAGCTCCCCCTGAGAGTCTCACCACAGAAGAGAGATACAAACCTTCAAGACAAAGGCGACCAGCTCTGGCGTGCTCTAGAGCAGCGGTCGCCAACCGGTGGTCCGCGGGTCCGAAAGGCTGGCGACTGCTGCTCTAGAGCACGCCCAGGCCTTTTCTGGGGCCTGAACTTCTTACGCTCCGTCTCCTAAACGCCAAGGGCCCCCATGAGACTCACAACCAGGGGAGCAGCGGGCAGCGCAGCTCATCCCCGGCTAAACCCCGATCCTGCCTGCAAGGCCCCCTTTCTCTCTGACGACCCAGCGGCTGACAGCAGCCCGCCCTGGCTCACTTCTTTCCTGTGACATTTCTCAGAGCCAAAGCAGAGCCCCACTAGGCTCTCCTGCTGCCTCCTCTGCTCTAAGCCCTTCCTTTGTGTCGCTGTCCCCAGCTTTGATAGACGCTCTCTCAACATCACGGGGACTCCTGCCGTGAGATCTCTCCTGCACGAAGTCAAGGACCCACACACAATGCTGGCTGGCCCCTGGCAGACCCGCTCTGGGCCCTGTCCCCTTTCCAGTGACATTAGTCCCCCCATTTTACAGATGAGGAGACTGAGGCTCAGAGAGGGTAAGTCCTCTGCTCCAAGCTGCACAGCAGAGCTGGGGTTTGGGTCCCAGCTTTAACCACGAGGCAGCCTGTCTTCCTGCATCCACCCCAACGCCCTCATCACACCAGGAGGCCAGAGGGCAATGACCTGTCCCCCCCACCCCCACCCCGTCTCCAGCCGCACAACCCTCCTCTGGGTTCCTGCCCTGGCTTGTGGCTCATGGCCTGCTCCCTCAGGCTAAGATAACAGGAACCGTGTCCAAATCTCCCCGAGAACCGGGGGCAGGAGCTGGGAGAGGATTTGCTCCCTCAGCCCAACCGTGTGGGGCCCTCCCTGAGGCCTCCAGGGTCATTTTAGGGCAAAACTGGAGCCCCCAGGGACACAGGCAACGGGCTTTTGCAACTTCCAATCACTGCAGCCAAAACTGTGAGTTGGGACGTGGTTGGAGTGGGGACTGGGGTGACTCTGGACAGGCCCCGGTCCCGAGTGCGGGGTGGAGGAGGTCAAGAACCGTGAGCAACGGTGACTTTTAGCTTCAAAGCGTGAATGAGCACCCCTATGTGCCAAGCCCCATGCCGGCCACTTTATAGCTGACTGTCCGACGTGGCAGCCACGGCCACAGAGGCTATTTAAGTCAAAATTCATGAGAATGAAACAAAACTTAAAATCCCGTTTCTCAGACGTGCGAGTCACACCGCAGTGTTCTGCGGACACCGAGGCCCATGGCCGCCCGTGAGGACGGTTGGCAGACCCACCCCCCGGCGGCAGAGAGCGCTGCTGGAGGCGCCGCCGTGGAGCACCCACCGGGGCTCTGGCCCACAGCGCATGCTCTTCCCACTCTCTCCCTTTCACCCTCGGAAAAGCCCTGAGACACACGGGTGGGGGGGCAGCATCGTGGGGTCACAGAGGGAGGAAGCGAGGCCCTGAGCCGGGGTCCTAAGGAGCCAGCACACTCAGGTTCTGGTCTGGGGGTGGGGGGGGCCTGGTGGGGTCACAGAGGGAGGAAGCGAGGCCCTGAGCCGGGGTCCTAAGGAGCCAGCACACTCAGGTTCTGGTCTGGGCCTCCCACCCCTCGAGCCCCTGGGCTACCCCTCCCCTCCCCCGGCCTCAGTTTCCCCACCCCCACAGGAAGGGGTCCGTGAGGTGGTGGTGGTTCCCCGGCTCCCGGGAGCCACAGGCTCTGACACGGGAGGCCAGGAAGGGACATCTGTCTGCCTGTGCGCCCTCTTCTACCAAGCTCGTCATCAGGTGCCCACGGAACTCTGGACACAGCAAAGGCTCCTGTTGTTTAAAATCTGAAAACCAGCCCGGCCGGCAGGGCTCAGTGGTTGAGCGTCGACCTATGAACCAGGAGGTCAGGGTTCGATTCCCGGTCAAGGCACCTGCCTGGGTTGCGGCATGCAGGAGACAGCTGATCAGTGATTCTCTCTCATCATTGATGTTTCTATCTCTCTCCCCCTCTCCCTTCCTCTCTGAAATCAATAAAAATATATTTTAATAAAAATAAATAAAAAAAATCTGAAAACCCTGGGATCTCATGGGTCTCCCTGTGTCCTGACGCTCTAGACCAGGGGTCCTCAAACTACCGCCCGCGGGCCACATGCAAATACAAATATTGTAGTTGTTCCCGTTTGGTTTTTTTACTTCAAAATAAGATATGTGCAGTGTGCATAGGAATTTGTTCATAGTTTTTTTTTAAACTATAGTCTGACCCTCCAACGGTCTGAGGGACAGTGAACTGGCCCCCTGTTTTAACAGTTTGAGGACCCCTGCAGTAGACCTTTATTT